GAAAAGTATGTCATATTTTTTTACGATAAACATTCAGAAGCGGAAAACTTAGATGTTTGTCGAATGGACTTATTTACAAAAAAAATAGGTCTATTGAAAATCTTCCACCCACATTCAATGCACTTTCATTACACGCCAGAAGATGCATTTATCAGGGAGGCCATATTTGGGTCAATTTAGCTACTGCTAATTTGGAATTACCGCGTCCCTCCCAATGGGGATGGTTATTGGAAGAAGAAAAATGGATACCACTCTGGACAACTATCAAGAACGAAAGATTGGAAATAGATATAATGATTAAATGCCAATGTAAAATTTGTGATCATAAATGCAAATGTTTCCTGAGGAAATTAAAATGTATACATACACAATTATGTACCTGTAAAGAATGCTGCAATTAGCGCTGTAGTAACTGATTTTATATTTGTTTATTCAATTTTCAGAGTTAATTAGTTAATTTTTATGTTTTCAGATTGTTTCATGTAGTTTTCGGAGTTGATGAGTCAATTTTAATGCTCTTATATTGTTTGTATTACAATAAAAATGTTTAAGTTGTTGTACCTTTATTGTTAGATTTTACACATTCCTTCTTGAATCCAAGTAGTATCCTACATAATTATTAGTCTGTGTGATGATTAAATCAACTTTTTACTCTCACGTCATATAGTAAAATGTTCATTTCTCACGTTTCATGCACAAACGGTAGGTAGGTAGGTATTTTTTATCATTTTTCACACATTATTCCACCAAACGCGCATGTTTTCGTGCGCCACTGGATGCCTTCTTTGTATATATCTCCAACTTTATATATATCGTTCGATAGAAAAAACTGCAAGCTTCATTTTTTCTCTCGTCAAATATTTCGATTCTTTGGGCCGTTTAATAGTTATGAGGAAAAACATGACAGCCTAGAACTCCCTCCTCCCATATATTTTTTATTGAGAGCTGACATTGAGATTTTTGATCAATCAAAAAATATCTATCAGATGTAAAATTCAATTTTCTTTCGAATGGCGTAAATCACAAATCTCTATCTCTCACCGTTTTCGAGAAAATAATATTTATATGCAACTGTGCGCACCACCCCTTCGAGAAGGGGGTGGGGGTGTCTCCGCGGGTTTCAGGGGTGGGTCTGCCCCTGAATCTCTTTATTTCTACTTACTCTATGCCTGTTCAGAAGGATTTGCTTTTACTCAGAAGGGGAAGTATCTGACCAATTTTGGGCTCGTAGGCACTATACTAATAGTCTCTATTTTGATATTGTATTTTGATATTATATTACTTTCTGAATACTATATTTGCATGTTTATCCACCTTTCTCTTCATGCTTGTGAAACATTTAACTGCCACAGTGTTTTACATTCATTTTATTTTTTTCTTCCTTTGTTATAAGAATTGTAAATTCCTTATGAACAATAAAATTCTAAATACTGTCTATATATAGGTTATTCGAGGAGGTGATACATTTATTATTACAGATTTTTTGTGATTTCTCTCCTCGTTTCTATAAAATAAAATAGTTATTTATTATACAAGGGAAAAAAGTAGTAGATTTTAGCTCCAGGTTGTGTTGTCTCCCGACGCGTAGCGGAGGGAGACAAAAAACCGTTTTCTGTGACAGAAGGAAGGACGAATCAATATTGAGAAGATATTACATTATTTCGAAATCTGAAAATTATCGACGTGAAATTTCAAGTTTTTAACAGTAGGGACACCTGCGTTTTATAGGCATCTTCATATCATTCTTTTGAAGTAATCAAATATCTGATGTCACTTCTGTCAGTTCAATTCTGTGATTTGATTTTAAAATATTGCGAATTCAGTAGTTGTTTAGTAATATACGAAAACGCGAAGTTGAATGGAAGATAAAAGAACGTGCAGTTCTTTCTCGGAGACGGTATTATTGACTCATTTTTCGGAACTATAGCACAACAAAAGCCATTAACAGAGTATATATATGTGATATATATCCGGGAAAAAAGTACTCACTTTTTTCCCACGGGAAAAAAGTAATTTATGAAAAGTGACATTTTATAACCTGCCAACAGAGATGACATGCCAAACTTTTTTCCCGTCACAGAAAAAAGAATATTATTTCAATATATGTATAGTAAGGACAAATCAGATGATTTGCACCAAAATGTCACTGCGTTCAAAGAATTTTCCAATCAGAAGGCCTAAAAGAAAAATTCACTAGCTTGTCAGTGACAATTTGCATTGAAAGAAGTTTGGAGAAGAGAAATAAAGGTATATAGAAAAAATATCAAATTTTTACTTAGCTTTGGACGTTTCGGGAATATATAAAATATAATAAAAACTCTCCAAGTATTATATTTTAACTACTTCACTCCACTTTGAGATAACATGGACTTCTATCGTAGAATAATATAATAATAATACCATACATTCCCGGCATATCTGAAAAAATAAAACGTGTTATTGGTGATAAATTTCAAGTGAAAACTGTGTTCAAAACTGAAAATACAATGAGATCAATTCTAACTAAAAAAAAAAACGAAAAATGAAGAACAATCGTCAAAAAATTGTATTTACAGTATACCTTGTGTTTGTGGAAAGTTTTCTACAGGTGAAACAAGAGACCTCTTTCAGTAAGGACGAAGGAACATAAATACAATATAATGAAAAGAAACATCGACAAATCGAAACTAGCAGAACATATCCTCATTAAAGATGGACAACATACGGCAGAGTGGAATAATATTGAAATCGTTAGAAGAGAAGATAACCAGAAAAGAAAAATCAAGGAATCTGCTTGAATTCTTCAGAACGGAGACAATAGCATTGCTTCCTGTTCAGTTGATATAGATAGAACATGGTATTCACTATTGAAATCTGGAAATAAAAATGGTAAATTCAAGATTAATTAATGAAAACATCCTGTAACTCATTTAATTACCAACGTCATCGCCAATTGTGCCACTGAGAACTGAAAAGTGTCAGGACAAATACGAATCTGCGATACAAAAAATCAATTTTTTATGTCGAGAACGGGAGCAGATTCGTTCCCGAAACGCCCAAAGCTAAGTAAAAATTCTCCAAACTTTTTTCAATACAAATTGTCACTGACAAGCTAGCGAATTTTTCTTTTAGGCTCTCTGATAGGAAAATTCTTTAAACGCAGTGACATTTTGGGGCAAATCATTTGATATCACGTATATTGAAATTATATTCATATTATTTTAATTTTACAGAAAAAACCCAAAAAATCTTGAATAACGAATGTACCACCTCCTCGATTAACCTAGACAGTATCTCTTTATGCTTGTGACACATTATTTTACTGCCCCAATGTTTTACTTTCATTTTATTTTTTTATTTCTTTGTTATATGAGTTGTAAATTTCTCATGAACAATAATCTAATTCTAATTTTATTATCATATTATCATGGCCTACCACATTTGAACGTACTGGACACGGAAGGTGCGCAGAAACGCTCCACAAATGGGGAAAAACACCAACCGCAGGTGTGACTGCGGGGCATCCATCACTGAATAGGGGCTACGAAGGTGACGTCAATGATTTCCTGATGGCAACCAACGAAGCGATCGACTACACTCGTCAACTAGATGTTAGCCTATGAACTTATTTTTTCTGGTTATACAGGGTGGAAACTTTAACTGGGATAAATTATCTACTGCGGGTGTGAATGTATTTATCCACATTTGACGGGCAATATGGGTAAAAAAACTCATGAGGGGCAGCTGCAATCAACCCCAACATTTTTTCTTCAAATGCAACCCTACGGCTTGCGACCACTCATTGTAAAGCTGGTTGAAAGAGGAATCTAGCGTACTGATCATATTTCGGATTGCAGTACGTTTAGGGGTCGCATAAAATCAAAATATAATTTCAAAGTTTAAAATATTTTCAACGTATTTTCATCAAAATTTCGACTTTTAGTGACAGTGATATAAGGCATTTCCTCCAGTTTGCAATAACACTTCGTTTCGAACAGTCAATACGGCAAAAAAAAACGAATTCTTTTTTGCGGCCCAATAAAACACTGGAATACAATAGCAGATAGCAGTTGTGGCGAAAAATTGCCATCAATTGTTCAATACACATTTTGAGCGATTGAAACGTTGAAAATAAATAGAATTTTGAAGTTACATTTCCATTTTATGCAACCCTTAAACTGAAATTAGACTAATACGCTATGAATTCCTCTTTACACCAGCTTTCCGATGGGGGGTCACAAGCCATATGGTTACATTTAAAATTATCATGTTGAAGGTGATTTCAGCTACCCCCGAAGGGATATATTCCAGAAGTTCAAGAAAAATTCCAATACCTACCTCCTATCCCTGTCCTCCCTAGGAACGCACGATATTCTTTGAACATTATAGGGATTCCCTTTCGTGCGCTCCAAGCGATAAAAAAAATATGTCGGGAATTTTTAGAAAAAATATTCACCTCCCGGCTAGCGAATTTATTCCAGTTTGAGTCTCCACACTGTATATGCATATGTGATATTATGCCATACGATAAACAAATAAAAACTAGACTTGAAAATGTTTTTACTGATTTTTGGCGCTGTTTCATGTGAAAATGTCAACATGTTATACATACATGGCTGTGGCGGGGAATGTTTAGCTCTATTCAATGATATATAAAACAAATATGCCGCCTATAAGAAAACAAAAGTTGTATGGTAACTCTTTGAAAATAATGAAGAATATTTCTGACAATCCCAACTTCTTTGTCATGATTAATTACCTGCCCACACAAAATTTCAAATGTATTCCTATAATATCAACCAATGAAAACGAAATCAGTGATTTTCAGTTTTTTCACAATATTTCAGGAACGGCTGACATTTTTCCAAATTGCAGGAAGTGATATTGAAGAAGTCCAAATTTCGCAACTTTTGTCTAATTCAATCAACTTTTTATTCAATACTGTTTAGGAAATAGCAATAAAATCGGAGGGACCCTGTATATTCAGAACAATTCCAGATTATAACAAAAACGCATAAAGGTATTTATTATTGTTTATTAGGATTATACACTAACTACTACATATATATACAAAAGTTCTTAATATATATTCTATAACCACTAATATACTTCCTTAACGAATTATTCATTGTAATTGATACAACTGCATTTATTTATGTTTAGACTTCTTCTTCTTCTTCTTGGCTTTCTTGTGCTTTTTCTTCTTACGATCCTTCTCACTCTCACTAGACTCAGATTCTGAAGAAGAACTACTGCTACTACTACTTGTTTCTCGCTTCTTCTTCTTCTTACGTTTCTTGTGCTTTTTCTTTTTCCTTTCCTCCTCCGAACTAGAATCCGAATCAGATTCGGAACTGGAAGTATCAGAATCCTTCTTAGAAACTTTCTTTTTATCTTTTTGTTCATCTTCCGAGTGTGATTCATCATAGTCTGGCTCAAAATTGGCTTCATCAATTGTAGCTTTTCGCTTAGCTGCCACTTGTGGAGGTCCCTGATCATCTTTTTCTTCTTTTTCATTCCTGACCTCTTCCGAATCTTTCTTCTTCAGTTTTTCTTTCTTTACCTTTTTGTCTCTCTTCTTTGATTTATCCTTTCGATCTTCACTTACACTTCTTGTTCTAGACCTCTTTCTCTTCGATTTTTTACCATCATCAGCATGTGTACTCTTTTCTGTTTTGGATTTTATTTTACCCCTGTCTCCCTTTCGATCGCCTTTCTTGTCATTTCTGCTGTGATGTCTGTTGTCAATTTTGTTTCTGTTTTTATCTCGACTGTTTTCTCTTCGTCTGGATCTAGATCTTCTATTCCGGTTCTTATTTTCGTCTACTTCGACACGTCTTTCTCCCGCTGCAACGTTCCTCCCACTCTCACCTCTCTTGCTGAATGGAGAAACGGTCTTAGATCTTCTGCTGAGGTTGATAATCTTATCAGTGTCATCTACTTTCACACCCAATCGTTCTTTAACTGATAGCCTTACAGGTGGTTGAGTAATTTCGGTTTTAACGACAGCTGGTACCACAGTGATTTGATCTCTTTCTCCAGAATATAATTTTGCACGATCATTTCCTATCTTTTTGATCTCTATCGGCCTTATAGCATTTATTGCTTTCGCAAATATAGCATTTTCTGCCCTCTTCAAGACTTCATTAGTTACTTTTCCAGATTTGTCAGATTTAGTGTCTGATTTATGGCTATCTTTGGGGCTAGTGAGTCCATCTTCGTCGACTTCCCATTTGGATTTCTCTGGAACTGGGGCTAATATATCAGACTTATCCAGTTCATGTTTCAGGTCTATGTCTGTGGTATGTAATTCTAATACGTCTTTTTCTTCTTCTTCATATTCTTTTATTTCCCCGTCTTCCATTATTTCCTCAAATCTATATTCATTAGGTGGCTGGTTTACGTCTCCTTCTGCTTGAAATATGTCATTTTCTAAGACTTCCTCTTGCAATTCTTGATATTGCGGCTCCTCCTCAAGCAACTCTTCTTGTTGCAGTTCTTCTTGTTGTAGTTCATCCTCTAGTAAGTCGTTCTCAATTCTGCCATAATTCTCAACAACCTTCGTATCTATATCCTCAGTTGACATTTCTCCATATAAATCGGGTATGACTTCTTCAGGTTCTGGAGTAAGATTGTTTTCTTCCAATTTTTCAGGCACCTTTGAGAACCTCTGCTCCCTATCTTTCAATTTTCGAAGTTCTTCACGTTTTCGTTCTGCCTTCTGCATTTCTTTATCTCTATTTCTTCTTTCTTCTTCCAGCCGTTTGTTTTCATTTACTTCAAACATTCTCTCTTCTTCCTGTTTCTTCTGATTTCTAAGTGCTTCGAGTCGTCTTTCTTCCAATAACTTTTCCTGTTCTTCACGTTTTTTCTTACTTTTTGAATAGCTTTCATCCTCTTCCTCAGAAACATTTTTAGGAATAATTTGTTTGAACTCGTCTTTTGGTTTCTTCTCTTTCGATTCTTTTTTGTGTTTTTCCTTCTTGTCTCGCTTCTTTTTCTTCTCAGACTCCTTCTTCTCCTTATGTTTCTTTTTATCCTTACTCTTCTTGGTTTTTTCGTCATCTGAGTGATCTGAAGACTCCCGTCTCCTTCTTCTACGTTTATCAGGGCTATCTCGATCTTTCGACTTCGATTTCCTTCTGGGACTGGGATTTCTAGCTCTATCAGGAGTTCTACTCCTCTTGTCGTGCCTTCGTTTTTTATCACTTGTTTTTTCTGGTTCTTTTCTATCGACTCGCTTGTCAGTAACAGCCTTTTCTTTAACCTCCTTTTTCGGGCTAACCTGTTTCTCAGTTTTGATAGGAAGTTCTTCGACACCAGGAGGAGCAATATCGTCGTCTACACCTGGAGGTGCGATATCTTGATACTGCCTTTGAGGCTGAATACTGTGGATAGTTTGAGGCAGGGGCTGGTTAAAAGGCGGTCCATAATCTCGCGGAGGGAGGAACCTAAACAGACATGAAAATTTTCATTATAATGTGTCGAAAAAAATATAGATGTGTATATATTTGAAAACGGTTAGACAAATTTGAATGACTTGAGCAAACCGATTTCCTTGATCAGTGAACATAATGAATCGAGGATAAACTATTTTGACATATGAGATGAAAAAATTCTCGATTTGAAATAAAGTAATGGTTTTTCGAAAATCGGTGAAAATAATCAAGATTTCGTGATTTTGGCGTATGTACAAAATGGAAACAACTCAGATTCGAATAAATGAAATAAAAATATTGGAATTCCTGAGAATTCCATCAATTTCCAACACATTGAACGAATTACCATTGACCTCGAACATTTTTCGATTAATCCACAACATGTTATTTGTTTTTTTTTGGGATATTGTTAAGGGGATATTACATATACACTAAAGAATTTCGATTATTGAGGAGAATAAAGAATATAAAACAGCTTGTTTATGGTTTTATGTAGGAATAACCATTTATGGAATATTAGTTGAGGGTCAAAGAATCACTCCCCTGGTACTGGCAAGTATGAACTAATATTCGTTATTTGAAATAATTCGGTTAGTAGAACAACCTTCCTTTCTTTCGAAGTGTGAGGAATACCAGAAATAAATGATTAAAATAAATAGGTGAGCAACAATTTTATAAAGGGTGTTTGCACTATCGACTAGCCTTAGCGTAGCAGGGCAGGTCAGCAAGATTAACTTTGCCTAGCTCTCTCAGACGTATTTTGAGTTTTAAAAATGAGAATGAACATCGTAATACCCACTTAACCAATTACCGGTTTTGGTTATGGCTGCATCGATACTTCAAAGAAGAAGAAGAAGGAAGTCGCAGTACGAGTGAATACATTGGAAATAACGGAAGCTGAACATGAGAAATTGGGAGATCCCTTTTTATATAAACATAGATCATTTTTCATCAACGCTCGAGTGCTCCAATTGCAACCATTTTCGAACTGAGCAATCAACTGCAAATTGCAAGGAGATACAGATATACTGGGTGTTTCAAATTCGATCCTCACCATTGAGATCTCGGAAATTATAAAAGATACGAAGATGGTTAAATTGGGACAAAGTTGCGCTTTACTTAACTAACAATATGCCGTGTAGGAAGTTTCGTGATTCCAAGTATGTCCGGAGATATCCGAAAAATAAACGAAATTTTGAAACATTGATTTTATTCTTTCTGGCTTCATTTATTGTAGGGTTTCAAAATGAATCGCACTTTTGCATTCCCATTTGTTCTCTGCTACATGATGCTGCGTTCATAGTTGCTAACCGAAGTTTCGTCTCCCGGCGATCATCATCGACCTTATTTTTTTCAATGAGCACCATATTGGATTTTTTTTTGTTTTGAATAAAACCTGTTATTCCTTTTTTGATGGTGTATCACATGTTGCCATTCTTCCTGGAAAACTCGGAGACAATTGAAAAAAACAAATCATCATAGTATACTTTGAGTTTGATGTTTCTCGATATCAGTTAATGACATTCGGTTATTAGTTTATTATTTTTGTTCGTTCAAGATTCATTCTAGTTGCGAGTTCAGTACATTTCTTTATTTTATGTCTCTAATTTATCCACTCGTAAAATCCATTTCCGCCATTTCAAACTCAAAGCCAACTATAATGATTTGTTTTCTTTTTAATATCTCCGATTTTTCCAGAGAGAATGGCAACTTTTGTGATATACCATTGAAAAGAGAATAATAATAAATTCTATTCAAAACAGAAAAAAACCAATATAGCACCCACTGGATAAAATAAAATTGATAATGGTGGCCGGGAGACGAAACGTCAGTTATCAAATCTGAAAGAACCATCATGTAGTTGGAAGAAAATGACAATGTAAAAGTACAGTTCATTTTGAGATCCTACCATGAATGAATCCAGAAAATAATGAAATCAATTTTCCAAAAATTTTGTTTTTTTCCGGATGTCTCCGGACATACTTGGAATTTCAAAAACTTTCTAAACGGCAAATTTGCCCCAATTTTACCATCTTCGTATCTGTTATAGCTTATAGTTTCCGAGATCCCAATGGTGAGGATTGAATTCGAAACAAATGATATAGTATGTGGTCATACTTCGAGTGGTGATTTCTTCAGTGATTCTAAGCCGACAGCTTTGACAAATTTACATTCGGAAATGGTTTCCAAGATACAGGGAGTAAAAAATCAGTTCGTAAAATTTTGTTGACTAATTTTGCCATGATAAGATTGACGATAAGTTTTTTTTCAAGTTTTATTCAAATTTATGTTTCTGTAAAGTTTCGTCTCAGATCTCACGAAGAATTATCCTAAGAAGTTTAGCCACATACTCAAATAGCACCCTGTATGGTACATAGAGACAGAGTGATTTTGACATGTCATGCTAATTTTAAAGGAGGCGACCAATTTCAAGAAAGAAACTTCATACATGAATCATCAAACGTCTTAAGCTTTAGGATACAAGGTATCAGAATTGATGAAAAATACGGTTATTTATGTACCAAGGACGAAAAACTGTCTATTATAGTCGAGTATGCAAATTGATAGCCAAGGCCTTAGCCGAGGCTAGCAATCAGGCGGGACAATAGACAGTATTTCGTCGAGGTGCATATCCTTACTTATATCCACATCACGGTCCTATATTCACAGTAAAGTCTATCGGATTTCGTGAATAATTAATTTGACAACAGCCAGTTCGATTTTTATTTCATCAGTAAATAGCTTGGGAAAAATTTCAGATCTATTTAATGTTATACGAATACCAATAAAGGATACTGAAATAAACCTATGACGTCAAAAAATGATGTACTTTTAGTGAACAGAAAAATTTCCAACAAAATAGAAACAAATAAAACAAACATTCTCATGGAAAATAGTCATATTCCTAATTCTCATTTTGAATTTTTTTTTTTATCGCTTGGAGCGCACGAAAGGTACTTATCAGATTTGAGTATCTGGAAAACATAACAAATAGTAAAAATGAACAACAAAAATACAAAACAAATAAAAAAAATTGAACTTAATAAGAAAGTTTGTTTCTTATTTTGTTTGTTATAACAGAGGTATATAAAAAATGGAATTCGATCTGAATCAGATGAAGTATTGTCCTTTTTTGGTTCATACATATCAATAGTACCTACCTGTACAGGGTATGTCACGAGGAGCTTACACTATCTCTATATCGAGAATCAGTCGGGAGAAATCCATGAAAATATGCATGCTCATATTTTAGAATACGCTCTCTTCATTTAAAATATTTTCAGCAATGCAGTGTTGCCGCTTCTATCAAAAAAAGCAGCAATTTTGTTATTCCAAATGGGATACCCTGTATTTTATTGCATTTACATATTCTCCCTGATGAACTGATTTCTTCGATATATTACACTCGGGGTCTATCGGAAATGATAACAGAGATATAGGGTGTTCAAAATCGAGATTTTCCAACTTTAGGATTTGTTCGTGTCGAAACTATTTATTATCGGCCAATTGACCCATAGTGAATAGTTTCGACTCAAAAAAATTCGAAAGCTGAAAAATCTCGATTTTGAACACCCTTTATCTCTGTAATCTTTTTCGATAGACCCCAAGTGTAATATATCGATAAAATAAGCTCTTTAGGGAGAATTTAAGAATGCAATAAAATACAGGGTGTTCCATTCGAAATATCAATGTTGCTACTACTTTGTAGTAGAAGCGGCAGCACTGCATTGTCGAAAATATTTAAAATGAAAAGAGCGTATTCTAAAATATAAGCATGCACATTTTCATGGATTTCTTCCGACTGATTCTCGATATAAAGATAGTGTAAGTTCGTCGTGACATACCCTGTATGTTAGTTTATTACTTATTTTGTATAGAATTAGTTTGAACAGAGCATGCCGAAATATCATGATATTTATAAGTGTATGTGATTAACTATAGATTAATAATAATATAGGTGATTATAATAATAAATAAGTGTGCGAATTTTTCAGTAGGTAATGAAATGTTTCAGTAGATCAGCAGATCAATATGCAATTCAGGAGATTTACTGAAAATTCAGTAGAACTGACAACCCTGCAGCGGACAGAAAGTGTTTGCGGACGAAAAGTTAGTTTCTGCCTTCGGAAATAGTCGGTTATTCGTTCGGAAATTAGAACGTGAAATGTGATTTTTGTAGAGGTCGACGAAAAATCAATTTCATTCAATTAATTTCATTCAATTAATCAGCAAACCGCTCATAAAAATTCGGAAATATTTCAATGATGAGGGCAAATGCAATAGTGATAACATTTGGCCAATCTGATTTCCAGTGACGTCGTTAGGAGAATATTATTATTTGTATTTTAGTAAAAAGTGGGCAACGAAGGGGGATTTCCAAATTTCATTCAACTTTATGAAAGGCCATTAAATTTTGTACAAAAACCAACCTCCTGTTGAAATCCGATAGACTCCAAAATTTGATATGAATGCCGTTTAAATTACTGGATCTAAGATTTTTATACCATTTCAGTCACATGAAATACTAAATTCTGCTATCACGAAAAGATATACAGGATGAAGAAAGGGGAAAGTATGCATATTTTCCACTTTGTATTTCAAGAGTTAGGACATTTACGACATACGTTTTTATTGTTATTTCTTGAAATGCCTCCATGAATCGACCCCATAACATGATAATATAAGCATGCCATTCAGGAACCTACAGCATAGGCTCCCAATTTTTGAAATCTCAGGGGGAAAAGAATGTATCGAATTGATTTTTCCCAATAGGTTCCCACTCGAGCAATTTAATTATTTAGATACGAAAAAAAAAAAAACGAAAAATGTTCTCGAATATGCCTTAAATTGAAATGATGAGGGTAGAGTGTCTCCAGAGTAGATGCAGCTGCAAAAAATGCTACCTCATGCTATAACTTCCTTAACATTGCATGTTATAAAGATCTCTTTCACGAATTCAAAAACAATATTCATATTGATTGGGGCAATTACTGGAGAGAAATAACAGAAGA